GTTAGCCGTTTGCTCACTAAAGGTTGCTTGGGTTGGTACTTGACACCAAGTTGGGCTTTTACCATTGCTCCAAGGATTGCCCATATTGGCCTATTGCAGTGAAAGATTGCATTGCTTTTGGCGGACTGTTGGACATCGACTACTTGGTTATATGATTTAAGGAAGACCATATATAAAGCCCTAATAACCCATCTACTATTGTAACAAGACCAAAGATCTTTACCACAACCTAACTTAGTATATTGTTAAAGGTTCAAGCTACCCTCAGTTATGAAACATAGAAAACCTCAATAAAACTAAATTATCTGCATATCTACAGATGGGAACCACAGAATAAGATTTGACTAAAACTAAAACTTGATGAAGTTCGTTTCCGAGTTTTTGAAGCCTTGAAACTGTACCTTTTCCTTTCCTTTATGTACATTTGAATTATCGATATTTCATATTTCCTCTTTCTTGTCTATCTTAGGCATTGCATTTGCTTAAATTCAACCTTCAGTTTCTCTTTTCCCTAAAGAAATATAATAAAGGATTAATAATGACGCCAGGGGGGGGGCGGGGGGGGCGGAAAGAGGACCATACATAAGTGCATGAAATTAATGACTATTTGGGGATTGCATTACTTATCATTATAAAATATTGAGATATGACCTTCAATCTCTCTCCACTACCTGAATGAGTCTTCTTTAACCTTTCTCGTGTTAATTTTGTCATCAATATTTCATGAATCAATTTCAATTTCTAATCATTTACCCATATGGAACTGTCCATTGTCTCTAGGGTCATGTAAAATGTCTACTTTTTCTTAGTCTGGCATCCACTACTCTTGGAGAATGCTGGTTCTCAAAAGTGTAATGCAATCTGAATAATATGATCCCAAACTCGGTCTCTTTTTGTTTTGCTTTGTTCTAATATACTAAAGTTAATGATCCAGTAAATTTCTCCATATTTTCTCTTTATTCTCCCATTTTCAATTAAATATCTAATTAATAAATTTATTTATCAAAAAATGTAATTAAGAAATTCAAATCTAACTAATGAGAATTTTGTGGCTACAATATGGGGAAGAACCACTGCAAGTCGTGCTCTTACAATATAAGGAGGCTCATAGCACTAATAAAAATCTAAAAACGTAAAGATAAATAACTCATTTGAAAAAAAAATCTGTTTAACATAAAATTAATGATCATACAACTAATCATGCATTTGAAATTACCTTGCTACATTCTATTTTCTAACCAAGGAAGTTGAAGAGGCCTGCCTCCAAGACACAACATTCTGGAGTATTTGTTGTACTAAATAGCCATTCCTGTTCCATCCTACCACAGTACTCCACATTCTAGGTCACCAATGCTGTCATCACTCGTCATGGATGCTTGGACTCTACCATTTGTGAAGATAATTCTTTGAGATCCTTCTCATTGAATTTGCATCTTGTGGCAGAGACAAAATGAGTTGGATACACTTCTTGATTGTGATTTCATTCTTTGATCTTGCAAATATTTTACGTATGGCACTTATAATCTAAAGGCCTCATATTGAGTTTATATTTTGTAAGTCTTTTTATTAATTTTCAACTCATGTTACTTGATCAGCATATTATTTTTAGGCAAATTACCAAGAAGTCTTCTTTGAAAAATGTGTATCCTATTTAGTCCTATAGCCTTTTGTTTATACTCAAAAGTGCTATAATATTTTTCTTCTTCTCTGCCTTTCTTCTTCTTTGCCTCTTTTGCTCTTTTTGATTTCTGGTGATCGTCGACGGATAACCACATTTTGCTTCTTCTCTTTCTCTTTATATATAGTCACCGGAAACTGATGACTACCATCGATTGGGGTTCACCGGCAACCATTGACCACCGACCACCGACTCGTTACTTCACCCTCATCAATGATGAAGAAGATAAGTAGATCTACGTAGATCTGATGTAGATCTACATCAGATCCGGCTAGATCTAAATAAAAAATAGTTGCCGAAGTATAATTCTCTCTCTATATCTGCCTCTCTCCTTCGATCTCTTAATTTTTTTACATTTTCTCTGCTATAAACTTCTCTTTTTTTGTTTCAATGGAGAAAATTTTCAAATTCTAAATAAGTTGTTTTCGAGTTTTAGTTACAGACGGTGAAAACTCTAAAATTTTGCAGTTTCAATTTTTTTTGGTGTTGGAATGAATCATGGTTTAAAATTGCAAAATTTTGCAGTTTCATAACATTCTTTAGAATTGTAAAATTTTGCAGTTTCATAATATGTTTTTTAGTTTGATTAATAAGGATAAATGCTTAATAGATTTTTGCTTTGAAACTGTAACATATTACAGTTTCAAAGCTTGCTTTTCAATTTGATCAATATTGAAGATTATTTGTTTAAACCCTACAAAAATTGAAAAATAACATATGTTTTTTTTCCATTGTTGCTGTTTTTTGTCGTCATATATATTTTTTTCTTTTAGTTTATCAATATTTAGCACATTTTGCTATTTTTTTTGCTCTAATTTCTCTATTTATTCATTTTTTTTTTTCTGGCAATATTATGGATATTCTGGTAAGTCTCCAATGATATTCTTAACGTCTAGCGAACGTTCTATACATTCCGGTGACTTCCATTGACATTTATAACACTCCGGTGAACTTCCGGCGATACTTCGACTTTCTGGCGATACTCCGGCGACTTCCCGATGATGTTGAACATTTCGGTGAGTCTCCAGTGATCGTCTGACGGAAGTCCGACGGTAATGGGATGTAACAGCGTCTGTAAATTAAAAATAAAAAAAAAAGATTTTTTGATAACAATTAAAAATATATAGGACTAATTGGTGCAAGTGTTTTGTTTTGGGATTAGATGAGTTTTGAACTTTGTATATGGGACTTATTGGTAAGTTCCCCATTGTTTTTTACACTTACTTTTCTTTAAATCAAGTTTAATCTGTAGTACTGCAACTATGTGGATTTCTCTACAGATTTTATTTGAATTTTCATTTTAAGTTTTAGATGACATCTTAATGTCATGTTTTTCCCTCTGTCAGTGATAGTCTCTTTTTTTGGGTGGATTTTCTCCTTGAATTCCTGTTAAAATTTTCATTGTCATCAGCTTTTGAACTTTCGCCTAATTATAGAGTACTTGCATTTGTTTTATATGCTTTATTTTTCTAAACATGCTATTTTCCCTTCTCAAATTGCCCTTTTGTTTTGGTGATTACTTCTGAACTTAGAATTTATTGATTTCAAGCCTATTGCTCTCCTCTGCAAAAAGGTTCTTCCTTAATCACTGTCAGTAAGACATCCATTCCCCTTTCAAATGAAAAGGGAAGTAGGAACTAGACTTTTTGCTTTCTACCTTTTTCCCTTAACGAGGGATGACTTGCTGCTCGACCTTCTCAAAACCTCTCAATTACAACGATACATGTTTTAGACTAATTGCACTTGGCGACCACAATATAAGTCATGAATTTGAAAATGTACTGATATGATGTTGACCATCTGAATTTAAAATTGATGTGTTTACTCAAAAGACATTGATGCTTTGAAGCATCGTGATAAAACATTAGATGGTTCAGAATATGGAATCACCCTTGACTGTTGGCTCACCCTTTAATTTGCAAGCCATGTGGTTAAAATGTCAGTGATCATAGAGTTTCTTTGAATATTTCTTTTGATTTTGATTTCTTGCTCTCTGGAATGTTGTAAATTCGCATTTCCTTTCTGAGTAACGTCTGAATCCCATATCTGACTATAAAATGCCATCATGCCTAATGCTAAAAATGATATTTATTTATTCATTTTTTTTGCAAAATTTCTTCCCTACTTTTAATGTTGGTTGATTTCATGTCTAATTCTGGAAAGGTGGATGCTTTGATTACAGTTGTCAATTGTCTCTTGTAATATCTGTGGAGTTGTTACTGTAAGTTTCATAGTGGGACACAACATTATCAGCTTGTAGCTGTTGCTGTGGATTCTCTCAATTAAAGATTTGTTATCTAAAATTCACTAGAAAAACTATCTATCAGCTACTTGTTTTAGAATATGTGTGTGGCAAAGCCAGGGTTGTGTAGGCTTCTTTCCTTTACTTGACCGAAGGAGTTCTTCTGCAGTCATGGGGTTAGGTTTCTTTCTTGTACTTGACTGTGGTCTTCTAGTAATCAAGGGACATTATAGTTTTTTTTTTTTATTGCAATGGCAATAGGTTTCTGTGGTGTAAGTTTTTCATTCTATCACTCAAGTGCCTTGTTATGCATATTGTACTCGTACAATGCAACATTCATTTTTTTTCCCGATATAGAATATGTTAGAGTTTGAGAAGGTCCAATCTGATTGATCTATGTGGTAGATTGCTGCAAAGCTAGTAGATTTTCTGTTGATTTATTGTTTAAGTCAAACTTCACAACTTCAGTCTTATCATAAGGTACAGCATTGTTAGCTTGCATGTTGAAGTGTGGCTCTGTACATGTGTATAGACTTGTCTGCTTCTCGTGTCTCTCTCCATCTATTATCTATAACTCATATTACAGCTTCCTTCTGTGTATTTGGTTTATTGAGGTTGTCCAAGATTGCTTATGCATGTGAAGGCCTCTCTTTTTTTTTACACAGAAGATGTAATGAGAAAGTAGAATTGGTTCAAAGAAGATAAAGTCAAAGCAATATAATAAGGTAGACACTATGTGATCCCTTTATACGACCTTATTAGCAGAGTTGAAATCATCTGGAATGCATATTGAGATATCTCTTTTTCTGAATGGAGTAAAAGACCCTTTTGGATGTTCGTTTCTTTTGGCTTAGGTGTTGAATAGATTTAGATTACTTCGTATACTTCTTCACTTATAATATTACTCTTCACTTATAATATTATTATTAATATGGAGCACGCTGTGCTTTTTCTGCTTTTAATGCCATAAAGTCTTTCAAATATTTTGTTTGAAATGCTTCTTTTATAAATTTCACCCTTTTGTTGCTTGCATTTATTCAATTTATTCTAACTTACCTGCATGCTGCGGGTGGCATTATGTTTAACCAAAATAAATAGGTTCATCTTTTTCAGACAATCTTTACCAAGGCAAGTATACAAACTACTTATTGTTAGTTGTCCACCTGAAGTGTAATTATTCACTTATCAAAAGAAGAAGAAGTAATTAAGGATATTCAGATCGCTGAAAGTCACCTGTCATGCGTTGCCTTTTAACAGCATTTTATTCTTTGTTGTCTCAACTTTACATACATAGCTGGTTTCGTTGACTACGTCACACTTTCTAATGCTGATTTCATTGATAATGTTGAATTGAAGTCTTTATGCTGAATGGTCTGTGGTTCATATACCACTTCCCACTAATAGAAGCATTAAACTATGGAACCATGGGGCCTTTGATTGATAAGAAATCAATTACAACCATCCATGGACGATCCATCTTCTTCTCTAATGCAGTTGTAGTCTGCTGCATTCCCAGAAACAAGTTGGGATCAAGATTCTGGCAAAATATTTAGAATTTTTAACTGATATATTGAAGTGTATAAACTGGAAATTACCCTCTTGATGGTGGTTCATAGTTTTGTTGCTGTGGCTGGCAAAGCTGGAGATGGACAGGTGCATGCGAGTCATCTCCAAGGCTTAAACTGTTTGAGAGCAGAGCATTTCTATTTGCTCCATTTACATCCCTTGTTCCATAAACCTGGGGGATGCACAAATGTTTCTACTGAGACAACGAAACAGCTTGCATTTTGATTTAAGTTTGATGATGGAAATGAGGTTATCTATTTCATGGCATATTTGAAGTTGTATTAGTCTTCTATATGAATACCTTCTTATATAATTCCATATTTTCTTCACGAATTAGGTTTACCTTCTTATAGAGTTCCACATTTTCTTGATGAATAAGGTTTCCCTGCAACAAAGGCAATGAAATTTTATTTAGTTGAAGTGAAACTTGAAGAGAAAAGAGGACAATTAGTTGCAAAGTAATCAACATTGACCTTTCGGTTTAGTTCTTGAATTTCATCAACCAAAATTTGGTCCTATAAAATTAACAAGTACGTTAATTCCAACTTTGGGAGTATATAGAAGATCATAGGAATGTAGGGCATGGAAGTTTCAGACCTTCTTCATACGAACACCTTTAAGACTCATTTCCAGTTGGTTCTCCAAATTTTGTAATTCTTTGACATTCAAACCGGAGAGCTCTTCTCCCATCATTTGCCTGCAATGGTCAATTGCATATATAGGATAATTTACCTTGGTGTTTATTTTTATGTCACTAGTTATTTAAATGAGGCAAATCTGTGGGATGCTAAGGGTTATTTCTTCCAACAGTTAATCTTTTGTTAATGTTATTCATTCTTATCTTTGAGGTCTATAAGATATCTGCTTCCACCTTCAGATCAAAGTCTTGTCTGCTTACTGTTAACTTCTACTTTTTAAGGTAAGTTTGACTGCTTCTACTTGGTTAACTTCCCATCTTCTGCCCCGCACATTCAATACTAGTTGATGGTAGGGGAAGTAGTATGTCAAGTGAATTAGAGTAATGACTATTTATTTTTTAATTTTTTTATGCTATAAGCATACTCATATATCAATCTCCTTCACCCCTTTTTGGCTTACATCCTTGGCTTTGCTATATGTAGAGATAAAAAATTAAAAAAAATCTACATGGCTCACTGTAATACATCAATTATTAAAAAATAGCTCTTCATATTTTTTTATTTTATTTTATTTGTGTATGTGAGACTTTATATATTTGTCCATTTAAAAAACAAATTTATCTGATGTGGCTTTGGACATTGCGATAGGAGCACCAAGGGGTAGATGAGGCATCCTTGGAGGCAGCAATAATAACCTTAGAATGATGTGTGAGGATTTCACTTTGTGTTTGGCCTATGGCATGACTTGTTGAAATCACTTCAAGCAGAATTTTAAGACTTTAGAATACTTTGAGAAATCAAATTATTGATATTGAAATATCGAAAGTAGTTGATATTCAAAGAAATGAAACATTCATGGAAGACGGTTGCCTACCTACTACCTCTCCTAGACTTCAATGTAGGTGAGAGTCTTTTGCATTGGCTACAACATAATTTTTAGTTTAGTAGTGCCTTGAAATTTCAACTTGGCATTGGCCACAAGATTTTCTACTATGAGCGGTGCCTTAGGATTCTTAGGATTCGTTATTATTTATTTATTTTACTTCTTATGAATAGGTCCAGTCAGTCCTATCTAGTATTTTAATTTTTTATTTTTATTGTTCAGAGTTCCTGTGGCTATGGCTAAGAAGACTAAGAAAATGATTTTTTTTTTTTTAAATTTTTTTTAATTTTTAATAACTAGGCATTTGGGCCAGCTTGCGTGCACCTTAACTAATGCCAGGGCTCTGAAGTTAATGACCAAGCAAATCTCCAATGGCCCCTTGGGGTGACTCGAACTCGAGATAGGACATCGTAACTATTTAGATTAATATCTTTATCAATAATGGGAAAATTATTCAGTATTCTTGGAATATTGCTGTTGTATGTGCACGTTATGTGGTCTCCTGATCAGTGAAGCTGCGAAAAAGGAATGGATGGGGCCAAACTTCACTTCCTCCTCAACCGACCAAGGTAGTTAGTTAAGAATTGATACACCTAATTGGGATATAGTACTAATTAGGAATGAGGTGGTGAAGGGAAAAAAGACCGTTTAATTAATTGCGATATAGTACCTTTGCCTAAGAATAATAGGGGCTTAGTTTGGGTAATATTGTTGAAACAAATATTACATTGGTTGGTAAGTGATTATGGACGTTTCCAGGAGAATGTAATTCTTTATGGCATGTGGTTATCAAAAGCAAACATGGATTACAGTTAATAGGGAATTCCTGTGTGGTTGATAGAGGGGAACTCTTGCTCTCCATGGAAGTCTATTTCCCAGGGTTTATCACATTTTTGTCAGTTTACTCATCTTGTTGTGGGTAATGGGGGTGAACAATGATGTTTGGAGGGGAGCATCTTTGATTTGCTACTTTATTTTCACAATTGTATCAGTCATATCAATCGTATAATGATTCCATTCCTTCCTTTGTTTTCTCCAACTCTAATTAGTTATCCTGGAACTTTCATTTTTTTAGAAATCTGAATGACTGTGAAGCCAGTGGATTTGTTTCAGTATCAGCAATCATTGATGGTGTTTCTTTGTCAAGTGCTTCTAAGGACAAAAGGTTACAGGCACTTCATCTTTTGGAATTCTCTTGCAAATCCTTTTTTGATATGATCATTGATGATTCTAATGTTCCAATTTTTGTCGCTCATAGAGATTATTTGGAAGGCATATGAAAGACAAAACTGTTCTTTACTTCCTCAATGTTGTGTCATATGCTATTGGGCCGAGATGAGCATTGATAATTTTTTTTTTTGCATTGCCCTATTGCTGTGCCTGTGAGATTATATTGTGAAATATATTGTGAGTCTTACAAATGAAACTTAGAGTCCTATTAGAAGCATGATTGTATTAGAGTCATGATAGTATTGTATTTGTATTTCCTTTTTGGTTTAGGAGTTGGGGCGACGCTGTTCTCACCGCTGCCCATCTTATTAATCGTCTCCCTACCCAGGTCTTGCAAAAACAAGCTCCTCTTCACGTCCTCCTAGGTTCTCAGTCCTTGTTTTTTATTCCTTCCAAAATTTTAGTTGTGTCTGTTTTGTTCATAATCACTCTCCTTCTCGTGGTAAGTTGGACCCTCGCTCCCTCAAGTGCGTTTTCCTTGGTTACTCTCCTACTCAAAAGGGGAATAAACGTTACCACCCTTCTTCTCGTAAGTGGTTTGTGTCCATAGATGTTACTTTCTTTGAGTCCCAATCCTATTTCTTGTCCTCTCCGGTGTCACCGTCTTTATTTTCGGGGGAGCCTTGGTGTGAAGTGAGTCCTGTGCTTCCTATGGTGGACCCAGTTGTTCTTGCACTACCCTCTTCTACTGTGCTTCCTATGGTGGAACCAGTTGTTCTTGCACCACCCTCTTCTACTGGAACTATAGAACCCAATGTTACCAAGGATAAGGACGGGCATGTTTATGTCCGGGACATAGACAGACAACAAGTTAACTGGATACAAGGGACCACTTCTGCTCCTCCACTGACTGCCATCTCCTGCTTCTGATGAGAGTCTAGGTAACTTTGAATCTCTTGAGTCCATTGATCTTGATGTTCCTATTGCTAAGAGGAAGGTTGTGAGATCTTGTATTTAACATCCTATCTCACATTTTGTGTCCTACTCTCATTTGTCATCCTCATATAGAGCGTTTGTGTCCAAAATTTCCTCTGTTAGCATTCCTAACCATTTTCAGGATGCCCTGCTATCTCTGAGTGGAAACTAGCCATGATTGAGGAAATGAAAGCACTTAGGAAGAATGACACTTGGGAATTGACTGAGTTACCTACGGGCAAACAACCTGTGGGATGTAAATGGGTATATACTGTGAAACACAAAGCAGATGGGTCCATTGAGCGTTACAAGGCAAGACTTGTGGCAAAAGGGTTTACTCAGACATATGGCATTGATTATCAGGAGACCTTCGCACTCGTGGCTAAGATGAATTCAGTCAGAGTACTTCTCTCTCTAGCAGCTAATCTAGATTGGCCGCTTTATCAGTTTGATGTCAAGAATGCCTTTCTCCATGGTGACCTCGAAGAAGAGGTATATATGGACATTCCTCCTGGTTTTGAGGATCATCAGACTGAAGGCAAAGTATGCAAGCTTCAGAAGTCATTATATGGTCTTAAACAGTTTCCAAGGGCTTGGTTTGAGAGACTCACTCAGGTTATGTTTAAATATAACTTCAAATAGAGTTTGGGCAGATCACACATTGTTTGTGAAACATTCCTCACGTGATAAGATTACAGCACTTATTGTTTATGTAGATGATATAGTTCTTACGGGCAATGATAGTGGGGAAATACCTCTGTTGAAGAAATATTTAGCTAGTGAGTTTGAAATCAAAGACTTAGGAAGCGTGAAGTATTTTCTGGGAATTGAAGTTGCTCGTTCTAAGGATGTGATATTTATCTCATGGAGAAAATATGTGCTTGACCTGTTGAAGGAAACTGGGATGCTTGGCTGCAAGGCACGTGCCACTCCACTGGAACCCAATCAGAAATTAGGGGATGATGGAGGAGAAGCTGTTGATAGGGGGAGCTATCAACGATTAGTGGGTAAGCTCATTTACATATCTCACTCCCGTCCTGATATTGCTGTTGCTGTCAGTGTGGTTAGTCAGTTTATGCATGCTCCTCATCAGATTCACTTTGAGGCTGTCATGAAAATCTTGAGGTATTTGAAGTCTGCTCCTGGTAAGGGTCTTTATTTTTCAAAGTATGATCATCTTCGTGTGGACGCCTATACAGATGCTGACTGGGCTGGATCAGTAACGGATAGGAGATCGACTTCAGGGTATTGCACTTTTGTTGGAGGCAACCTAGTTACTTGGAGGAGTAAGAAACAGAATGTGGTTGCCAGGTCAAGTGCAGAAGTTGAGTTTAGAGCTATGGCACAAGGTGTGTGTGAACTTTTATGGATCAAGTTATTGTTGAGTGATCTAGGTATTGATCAGATGGACTCCATGCGGTTATACTGTGATAATAAGGCTGCCATCAACATCGCTCACAATCCAGTTCAACATGACAGGACAAAACATGTTGAGATTGATCGCCACTTCATTAAGGAGAAATTCACTAGTGGTACCATTTGTACTCCTTTTGTCCAGTCTGGTGAACAACTTGCTGACATTCTCACCAAGGGGGTTGGGAATAAACCATTTCATGACATATTAGGCAAGCTGGGCATGAGAGATATCTTCGCACCAGCTTGAGGGGGAGTGTTAGCATATTATATTATTATCTGAGCTTTTTTGGTTTGTAATTATTCTATGCCCTCAGGGCTCGACTTGTAATTGTCTCATCTTGTAAACCCTAATCTTCATTTATAAATAGGGGATGATATTCTATCAAACCCTAAGCTGGTTAATCCCTACAAGCTTCACTTCCTGTACAGATACAGCTGCCCAAAATGGTCGCGTTGAGCGTAAACACCGTCATCTCCTTGAGACAGCTGGGTCTCTTCTTATCTCTGCCTTAGTTCTGGCTCCATTTTGGGGGGAGGCAGTTCTTATTGTTGCTTTTCTTCTCAATCGCATGCCTACTCCCATTCTTTCTGGTCGGTCTCCTTATGAGGCTTTGT